GATCTTGACAAACATAGTGAGGATGGCGCCGACGATGAAGACGAGGACAATTTACTCGACACGCAAGAGAATATACCCTCATCGCCGCCGTTAGCAGCGGTTGAAGCGGTAGTCGATACACCATGCCCTCGACCGCGCACCCGATCGTCCAACAAGATACAGCAGACGCTCCAGGAACACAGGTATGGATAAAATAGCTCTCAGAGACGCACAACAGGCGAAATTACTACATAATACGTCTATTTGGACTCACAAACGCGGTCTTCCTATCTCTTCGACTGGAAGGCGGCAGCTCCTAAATAGGCCCAAAGACGTGATTTTTTCACTTTTCGTTGTTACTTGCGTCTTTAGGTGATCCGCAGCTATTGATCACATGTATATTTTAGCTATTTGAAGTCGCATTGACGGCACCATGAAGCGAAGCGTAGAATTTCCCTTGATTTTGCACCCCAAATTGAGGACCCTGCTGTGCCGGATTTTTTGGGCTGTGCCGGATTTTTTGGGCCAACTAAGTGGCGAAGACACTTAGTTGGGCTGCTGTGGCCCCACACCAAGATCAACGGGTAAAGGTAAAATTAAAAGTAAGGGGTTAGATAGGTAGGGCAGAGAGATTTAATTCTTATAGGAGTAGTAATAAAGGTAGGGGAGTAATTATTATATTACCTTTATTATCCTTCTTTCCTCTATCTAACGCCCCTTTTTATACCTATCTAGCATCTTAATTAATAATAAAGATCCTACTTAAAGAAGCTATTAATATCCCTTTAACTACCGAGCTTTTTACTAGTTTTTCCCTTTCTTTCTAGCCGTTGCTAGTATATCCGTCTTATCTCTCGCTACCTTTATAGGAAGCTATCGCTACTTCTACTTCCCCTCTTACTCCTACCCTCCTCTCTATACTTCTTTTTAGCTCCTTCCTTAAAACCTGTTTTTTAGCTTCCTAGGTCCCTCGTACTAAGGGATATCTCTAAGAACTACGAAATTAGGCTACGCTTCGCGATAATATTACCTTATCTAAGGTTTTATTATATCTATCTTAGAGCGGGTAATAGATATTAAAGTCCCTTACTATTACTATAAGGTACTTTAGTTTAATTATACTTAGGTCTTATAATGCTCTAGCCCTCGCGGCCCTTAATAGTAAGTAAATTATTTATAGTTTAATACTATCCTTAAAAGTTACCTTACTTTAGTCTAGTCTAGACTAGGGCAACTAAGTCCCTAGCCTAAGCCTTTTATATATATATAGCGCGTACCTCCCCTCCTTATAAACTAAGTTATAAGGCGCCGCTTTAAGAAGTAGGGCCGTACCTCTTAGTATAGATTTTAATTCCTATAGTACTATTAAGTTAAAGCTAGCTTAGTAGCTAAGCGCTAACTAAGCTAGCTTATATTTCTTTTATATATTCTAGAATAATACTTTTAGTTATATATAGGTAAGGTTAAAGTAAAAGGGTTTATCTATATAGGGAGGGAGGCGCTTTATCTCTTAGCGCTTCTTTATTTACTATACCTATAAATATCGTTCGACCTTAATTTAGCCTCCCTAGCCCTACTAGCTAGTAGGTATCTCGAGCTCGACCTCTTATCTTAGCGCGGTTTACTTAGTCCTTACTTTTAAACTACGGTCGATTTAAAAACGCCTTAAGTTTTAATAGTAGGTAGTACCTATTACTTAGTATAAGTTTAAGTATTCGTAAACTATTAAGGTTATTATAAGTAGTTTTCCCTTACTTTTTCCTAGGCTTTATTTACTATAGGGTAAGTTTAGGTCTATAATAGGTAGTCCCCTTAATATAAGATATAGTTATAAGGGATTTTACCTTTCTTAGCTTTATATTTATCCTTACTTTTATTATATACTATACTTTTATATTAGCTATAAAGTTATATTAATATATACCGCTTAGTAATATAGCTATACTTATAGTAATTATAGTACCTTTATAGTTAGACTAACTTATTATAGGGTTTATATTAAAAGATTTATATTTTAAGGACTAAGCTTAAGTTATAAAGCCTATTAGCCTCTTTTAAGCTATTAACTTTAATAAGTATAGTCGTTGCTATCGATATCTTAAATTAAGGGTATAGCGCCTAAGCTTAAAAGTCCTTAACTTTATTTACTTTTATAATCTTATAAAGTAATCGCCCTTTATTTACTATTACTACCTTTAAAAGGATATTCTTAGTAACTACTATATATATATAATAAGTAATTATAGCCTTTAGTTTAAATATAGCCTTAACCTAGCCTTAGTCCTTTTAATAGGCTCTTACTAAAGTATTAAATATAACTATAATATCTTTACTTTAAAAGCGCCTTACCGCTATAGCGCTTATAGCTTTTAAAGCTATATTTACTACCTTTACTATATCTTTTAGTTCGCGGCTTAGGATTTTAAGCGGTGCCTTAGTAAGGACTATAATAATCTCGCGTTTATAGCGCGGTAGGACTTATTTTACTATAGCTTTATATTAAGTCAGTCCTTTAATCTTAGCTATAACCGCGGCCTAGGTTTACTTTAGGCCCTCTAAGCCTAAAGCGATACTTAGGTAGAGTTCTTCCTTAACTACCTCCTTAATTACTTCTTAGATTATTATCTTAAAGTTCTCGTTTATATAAAGTACCGCTAATAACGCGCTATTAGTATAGCTCTTTACCTTAAAGAGCTATTTAACTACTACCTATACCCTACTAAACTATACGCTTAGGATAAAGCCTATAAGTTTATTATATACTGCTTTTTCTATAAGGTCGCTTAGTGCTTAAGTAAGTATTATATCGCTACTTTAGGTTTATTAACTCGCCCTATCGAGGTATATAAATTTAGGTAGCGTCTCCTCGCGCTATACGCTCTAGTTAAGCCTAGTACGTTAAGGGCCGCTACCGCGTTTACTTACCCCTTAGCCTTAGCGTAGTATTATTACTTAAGGTAATTAATACCGCTAAATTAATTCCTAGTATTAATTAGTATTTTAGTCGTAATATATACTTACTATAAGCGTATATTAGTTTTAAAAAAATTTTTATTAAATCTATTACTTAATAGCTTATACTATTATAAAGTAAGTAAAGGTATATATATAAGTACTATTTATAGGATAATATTAATAAGCTATATAAGCTTATTTATATATATCTAGCCTATATATATATATATATATATAGAATCTAGCCCTTTATATATAACTATATAGCTTAGGCTATAGCCTAAGCCTATAACTTATAATAGTTAAAGACTCTTATAGCCTTATATAAAAAGGAGTAAAGCTTTATATACTAAAGTACTATCCCTTATATTATAGTACTAAGAGCTACTACTATATACTAATATAAAGGGAGCGGGATACTATAAGCTTATTAAAGCTAGCTATATACTATTTTATATACCTTTACTCTTTAACTATAAGTACTTAAGTCTAGCTCTTAAGGCGCGGCCCTTACTAATAATATAGTTTATTTAAGAAGCTTACTTAGGAGGGCATTATATATTATTTACTAATATCTTTTCTACGATTAAGTATATATAGTCCGCGTAAGGGTTCTATCCTTTTAAGCGCGGTATTAAGTATTATTTAAAGTTATACTTCTTTAAAGCTAGCTAAGGGTATAATATAAGAGCTTTTACCTTATATAGGCTTAGACTAAGGTCTAGGCTAAGCCTATATATAAGCGGCCTCTACGCTTATATAGGCTAAGCCTATACTTTTCTTTATTTTCCCCTTTATAAATTATTAACCTTCTTTTAACGGACTATACTTAAGCCTATACCTTTACTTACTCTATAATAAATATTCTTTCTTACTAAGGTCGATATTATAAAGATATTAAAGTTATCTATATAAGATAGCTAGTACCTTTTAGCCGTTAATATCCCCTTTATATATAAGAGGAATAAAATAAGGCTAATAAGGGATCCTTAAGGTACCTTTATTACTAGGTTTATTAAGGGCTAGGTTCGCCCCTTAAAGGCTAGCTAGATCTCCCTGCTAATAAGGAAGTAGTCTACTTAGCTTATAAGGGCCTTAGGAAGGTTTAAGTCCCTTAGGACCCTTATAAGCTATTCCTTTAATATAAAGTTAAAGGCGCCCTTTATATCTAATAAGAAGGTATTAGTAATAGCCTTCTTATTAGACTCCTACTTCTTTTAGATATAATATAAAAGGAGGGGGGCTATATTAATAGCTAACTACTATTTTCGTCCCTTTAGCTATATAGGGTTTATAAGCCTAGCTATATTAGCTAAATAGCTTAGCTAAGTAGCGTATAGCTTTTTAAAGACCTTTCTTAAGTAGTTAAGTAGACCTATAACCTTATAAGCTTTAAGGATAGTATAGTCTAGCTTATTTTACTTAGGAAGTATAATTCCTATAGCTTCCTTCTAAGGTTTACTATCTTTACTTAGGCGTTTAAAACTCTATATTATCCTCTTAAAGACTTTATTATATACCTTTTATTTACGTAGAGCTAGCTACGTATTTTCCTCTGGGTCCCACTGAGCTGGTAGTAGAGCGGTCGTCTGCCGCTGCAGCGCTACAGACCACAGACCAGCCAGTGTGCCATCCTGGCCCGCGGCTTCGGCTCCGGCTCCGGGCAAAACGGGCGGCGAATCAAGCCTCGGCAATTTGTCACTTCACTTACATCTGCCTCTGCCTGCCATTCCACCACATCTCCCCTCTCCTTTACACGCGCCTCTTCAACAACTTCAAGACGACGTGTCGGGTTGCAACCAGCCGCTACTCGCCGGCGTCCCACGATTCCGCCAAATCCGCTGCACTGTAGCACCATCTATGATTCGTGTTTCCCCGGCACAAGGCACAGCTTGTGCTTCCTAACCTTTTCTTTTCCTACATGACGCCATCAATGCTATTACCCTGGAACAAGAGGCTCGGCGGCACCCCCTCTGCCCTAGAAAGCCTACTCGCATCAGTCTCCCAATTACACGAGCTCGAACCAAACCCTGCAGCCATCAGAGGCTGGCTGCCCCGTTGACCCATCATTTCCACGCGTTAAGCCCAGCCCAAGGATCGTGCTGCTGCTGCTGCTGCTGCCCCATTCCCGACTGAGCGCCCTGCGGATGCCCGTATCCCTGATTCCCGTAATGAATCGTCTGCTGCGGTCCCAACGGCGGAGGTCCGGGCGGCGGCGGAGGCGGCACAAACCCGGGCGGCACGAACCCACCTTGCCCGTGCTGCGCCACCGGTGATGCTCCGTATCCCTGGTACATCTGCTGGCTCTGGGAGCTCTGCCCAAAAGATGACTGCGTTGGAGGCGGCGATGTGGGCACCCGCATGGCTGCCATGCCGAATGACGTCTGGGTCGGCGGCGGCGAGGTCGGCCCCGGCGTCGGTCCGTACTGGCTTGGGTTGTACGTTGGCTGAGAAAACGTGTTGACCGGCGGCGGGCTGGAGTAGCCGGCAAAGCTCTGCTGGTGGTGCTGCTGCTGAAACTGATGCTGCTGCTGCTGCTGCTGCATGTGCCCCGCGTTTAGCGGCGGCGACGTCGGCACCTGATAGTGACCCTGAAAGCTCGTCTGCGGATAGCGAGGTGGCCCCTGGCCTGGCTGGAAGAGAGGCGCCGGCGTGGGCCTCCCCGACGACGACCGAGGCGGAGACTTGGCCGGCTCCATCGACATGCGCTCCATGAGCCCCCGCAGTCGCTCTCGTTCCAGCTCCGCCTGGCTGTTCTTGTTGGCCGACCGGTCCTGCTCAATCTGGTCGAGCAGCTGCGCTCCCTCGGATCGTCGGTTGTTGACAAACGTCTCCACGTTCTTCTCCAGGCTTTCCACCGTTTCCCGCATCTCCCCGTACCAGTTCTTTGCGCTGTGCAGCCCGGCCTCGAGGTCCAGAAACTCCTGATATGCACGCTTGTACCGGCTAATCACCGATGACCGCTGCCGCTGTATCGCCTCGTACTTGCCCTGTTCGGACCGCACCCGCTTGTCCTGCAGCAACGCGTTGAACGTCGCCGTCAGCTCCTTCATGAGTGCCGACTGCTTGTGGTTCGCCTGTAGGAGACGGTTCTGGTGTGGCCTGAACTTTTCCAGCTCCTGCTCAAACAGCTGCGCTTCGTAGCTGGAGATGGACTTCTTGTTGAGTATGAGGACCTGGGAGATGTCGTCGTTGTGGATCTTTGTGCCATGGTTAGCTCTCTGTCCATTCTCCCCTTCTGCGCAGCGAGCCTGGGCCTACCTTTTCCTTGAGATCCTTCAACACTTGGTTACGTTCCCTCTTCACCAGGTTGAGCTTCTTGAGTATATCCTCCACTCTGCCAATCTGGTCGGCCACGCTGGGTCCGCCCTCGCCAAAGTCGGTGTCCAGCAGGTTTTGTTCCACGCCAGACGGGCTCGCCACATTGCTGCCCCTGCCCCTGGCCACGGCCACGGCCCGCTGAAAGAGCTGGTCCACCTCGCCATCTTGGGCTGCGCGCCGCATCTCGTCAAACTCGGCCTCGTTCTGCCGCAGCTTCGCCGCCAGCAGCTTGTCGCTTTTCATGGCCTCGTCCAGCGCATCGCGATAGTTGCGAATATCCCCTCGCAGCGTCGTCGTCAGCCGCGCGCTCGGCTGCTGGCTCCACTCGTTCTCGTACTTGGACCGCATCTTCTCGCAGACACTTTCCTCCATGTCAAGCTGCTTTGAGCTCTTGTCCAGGTCCGAGACGATGGACTCCTTTTCCGTTCCCAGCCAGTCGAAGATTGCGCCCGGGTTTTCGTGATCGGCCACGTCGACGCACCATTGCCGAAAATCTTCGTCTGGGGGTATGTCCTGGTCGAACCCGCCCTTGAGCACTTGCAACGCTCCCGGCAGTCGCAAGTAATCCAGGCTGGCAGCCATTTCCCCGTTAGCCGTGTCCACCCTCTCCGTCTCGGCCCTCACCAGCTTGGCCTTTTCTTCGTCGTAGAGACTGGCAGATTCGGTCACGGCCATGGGCACGATTTTGGCAAACAAGTCGGGCCCCGTGATGCGCGAAATGTCCTGGCCCGCATACAATTCACTGACCGGGATCGGCTTCGCAGCAGGTAGTTTTGCGATGGGTGGCAGGCTGGCCTCTGGGGGGACGGTCTGATGATAGACAAAGTCGTTGTCCTTGAGTGCCTCGCGAAGCTTCTCCTGGACGGTCGCGTGCTGCCGCTTAGAGAGCTCTTGTAGGAACCCGCCCGTCTCGGCGCTCAGGCCAGAGCTCGAGGGCACTGACGACGGAAAGCTCCTGGAAATTCGGTCGGCCTCCTTGGCCATGCTCTCGGCAGCCTGGAGGCGTGATATGGCGGCCCCAAACTCCTTTGCTTCACTGTCGGTCAAGGCTTGATAATACTGCGCCTTGGAGTTGAACAAACTAGTTTTGATCTTGGGATCAAGTCAGCCTAGTGTAGCCGGCGCTGAAGAAAAGAAAGAGGGTTGGGGGAAAGGGGCTCAGTGCTTGGGATCGGAGCATCGGGGGTAAGTCGACAAGTCGACCACTTACTTGGGCCATCATCAACCACACTTTTTCAAATATGGCCCTGTTAACGTTTTCCTGGACGCCCTCGGTGGCCTGCGCGTAGAGAAAGGCCGCTTGGGCGGCCAACTTGGCCAGCAGTGCAGTCTTCTTGTGGTCGGCCACCTGCTTCTCGAGAAAGGTCTCCTGCGCCTGCGCAAGCATAATCTGGATCAGGGTCTTGACGGTCTCGCGGCTGAGATCAAACGACGGCGCATGGAGGAAGTTTTCGTTGATGTAGGTAAACATGCCGGCAGAGGCCTGGAAGGAATGGTAGGCGGCCTTGATGGCAGTCTCGTCGGCGCGGTTCTGCAAGGCGCCATGGCAGGAGAGGACGGCGGAGATGTTGAAGATGACCGAGGCCTTTTCGAAGGCAAGCGAGTATTGCGTCGTGGGCTTGTGGGTGAATGCGTCGAACCTGCGGGGGAACAAGAAGGCGCGGTTAGCAAGGACATGGTAGAAGGAGGGTGCAGGGGAGCGCGCGGCTCGCCGTACCAAGTAAAGGATATCTTGATGTGCTGCTCGTCGACGGGGAAGCGCAGGTCCAGGAGCTCGAGCTGGCCATAGTAGCGGTAGAGCATGTCGCGGCCCGGGGTGCTGTCCTTGCCGGCGCCGCGTACGTCCTGCCGGAGGCGGTTGAGCGTCGCACACTCCTCGGCGTAGCGTTCGGGGTCATCGCCGTACGTGTCACGGATGTAGCTCTTCAAGGGCGCAACCCAGTCGATCTCGTTGGTGGCCTTGAGTGGCGCCGATATCATCGGCGACTGCGTCATCGCGTCTCGTACGACAGCCCGGGCTGCGCGGGTCGGGACGGGAGGCAGCAAACTCGCGGGGGCGCGTCGACGATGTCGGCCAGTCGTGTGCAGCGGCGTCGACGAGATGGGCGTATCGGCGGGGCCGCCGGCGTCCAGGCCTATGCAGCAGCAGCAGCAGCAGCAAAGCCCGTGATGGGCTAGGCCGCTCGCGGGTTCCGTCGATGGTCGCGGGGCGCGGGAGCTGAAGGCTTTGGCGGCGGGGGGGTGGAAGGTCGGTCGCCTCTCATGCGGCCAGGTGCAGTGGTCTCGGAGGCAAAAGAACGGGGGTGCGGCGGGGGGCAGTATGGACGTCGGGCCACGTATAACCTTGAGCCAAGGTTCTCGTCGGGCAAGCAATCGTCGGCTTGTCGTCGATCGGTCTTTCTCGCGGCACGACCAGGAGAAGAGAAAGCGGGGTCCGAAGGTGACTGAGCTGAGGCAAGCTTTGTTTGCAGCCCAGCTACGACGCACGCGAGGAAGCAGGGGGGCGGTGGAAGAAGCAGAGCAAGAGAGGGGATATTCAGTCGTCCATGTGACGACAAGCAAGCACCTCAACTTGCCGCCGGCTGAGGGGATGACAAGATGTCGTCGGCTCCCTGCCAAGTACCTACATAAGCTCGAGTGACCGTTCGACCGTTCTTGTGCCGTGGTGGACACCTAGGCATAGCCAGTGGAGTACTTCGCCGGTGGAGCAGACACAAACCCCCCACCCATGATGTCAGAGTAGAGAGACTTGATGTCGCGGCGTCATCTTGGGCGAGCAACAGGTGACTGTACTCTTCCTGTGTTTCAGTCACGGGCCAGAGGCATGTATCTCTCCATCGGTAGAAATCCTAGCAATACGTCGAGTACTACAGTGCCAGGCGTGCTAACCCAGCTCAGTAAGGTATTATTATTACCTGCCTACCTGTAAGAGATGCCATGCTTGCTATCCTCCGCAACGGCCCTGAATGCAGCTTCTCGCAGCGTCCTCCCACAGGCCACCCCGGAGCTCTTGACCACTCTCACAGCTCTCTCCAGACAGTCTCCGTACCTAAGTTAATAATAAACCCCAGTCATTCGTCTCGCCTGGGCTAAACAAGCACATGCAGCCACTCCCACAAAGCAAGAATCAAACAAAAAGGAGAACCCCCCCCCCCATCTCAATGCACGGCTCGTCACACTCGCAGCGCATCTCGCCAGGCCATTGGCTCTCTGTATACCACAAGAGCCAAGCACACTTGCACGCAACGCCGCCGGGAGGTCCGTGGCTGATCGTCCCAGGCCGATTCATTGGCCCTTTTCTGGCGCTTGCGACGCCTTCCAGGTCCGCCCGTGGCGCAACGGCCCGCGCCCTGTCTCGTATAGTAGGTACCTGAAAGGCGAAAGGCGCCAGCAACCACTCGCCGACTTGCGCAAGCAGAAGGAAGTTGATGCAAGCAGAATGAAGTTGATATGGAAGATAAGGGGAGGCCTACAAGGCCGAGTCCAAGTACACATCTATATCCACAACACCACAAGCCCGTCGCCGGCAACTCCACGCGCGCCCTTGCCCGGAAATTCACGTGTACACGCTCTCGGTCCACGAATTCACCTGCAGCCCCCGTTCCGCCATCTCGACGTCTTGCAGAAACTTCATCGGCATCCACACCAAGTGTCCTTTGATCTGGTCGAGCTTCTCGCGCGCGTCCTCGGGCGGCATGAACTGGTCGTAGATGTGACCGGACTTGACGCCCCGGGGCGGAAGATAGCGGTCGTAGTCCTCAAACGTTTTGACTGCATACTCAGTGAGCGGACGCCGTTCCGACTGTGTAATGGGCCAAGCAACGGGGCACTTACTGTGATCGTCTGGGTCTGCGTGAAACAGATGCCGGAACAGGTGCGTGTTCCTATCCGCCTGCCCGGTCCACATGTCCCACAGGTCATCGCTCATGGGGTCCTCGACAAACTTGTAGCTGTCCTCGTCGCCGTAAATATTGTTCTCGGGATTGACCGTTGGGGGCTGAGCGTTGACATCGTCGTCGGCGTCGAGTGGCTGCGGCGGCAAAAGGCCCATGTGCTCTCGCCAGAGGTACCGACGGAGCGTGGCTGCATGGTAGCCCACCTCAAATGGCTTGCCGTCCATTGTGCTCGCCAACCTCTTCGTGTCCTCCATGACGATGCTGAGCTCGCTGTCGTGGTCTCCGAGCTGGCTCCGGTCGTTGAGGTTGCTCGACCCGCAGATAACGATGCGATCGTCGGCAATGAGCAGCTTGGCGTGGATGTACAGCTCCTCCTGGATCCAGTTCCGTATTTCCGATTCGGGATCCTCGTGGCTGTCCCACGGTTCGTCCTTAAGGGAGCCCTGGCCGCACATGGCATGATGAGCAACCGACGCGGCGGAAATGACTTTTTCGTCAGGCTTTGCCTCTTCGAATATCTTACTTGCTTGGAGCGCGTCCTTTGAGGGCTCCTGCGGCGGCGGCGTAGAAGACGACTTGTGTCCATGTCTCCGCATGCGGTGCGTCTTGCCGTCGTCGGAACTGTCGTCCTCGTATCCGTGGACGCCCTCGGCCATGATCTCCTCGGCCTCGGCCCGCTGAACTTGCTGGTAGCTGATGCCCGTCTTCTTCTCCGCCTCGCTGATGGCATGTGTCTTGTTGAGGCGATCGTAGGACCGAAGGTTGAAGAAGAAGATGTGCTGGGTCGGATCGACGCCCTGGGCCTTGACTCGCTCAAAGATGGAGTTCTCGCCGCGGCATATCGACTTGTACTGGTAGTCCATGATGGCCCTCGTGCCCGATGCTGCGTTCTCTCGCAAGTCTCCGGCGAAGCCCGGGATGGCGGGGATGATGACGATGACGCGGAATTTGCGGCCCTCCTTGCCCGCCCTGACCACGGCCTCGACAATGGCGCTGCCAATGGTGTTGTGGATGGGAGTCTGCTGGTCGCCCGTGGCGGTGATGAAGAACTGGTTCTCGATGTAAACGTAGTGCTCTGCCTTGCGAATGACGTCGCAGTAGGCGTTCTGGATGGAGTGATCGGTGAGGATCCCGCTGGACCAGTCGGCACTGGAGCGGACGACTTGTGCGTGAACAGTGCCCCGGTTGTCGAGACTCTTTGTGCTCAGCGGCGAGAGGGGATGTTTGACGTAGTCTCCGACAGGGTGCTTGGGGCGCTGGACGCCCACCAGGTCCTCGTCGTCTCCCTCGCGACCCTCGAGGATGATCCAGTCGTAGCGCTCGTCGCGCTTGTACTTGTCGCGCTTGACAAAGTTCCAGCGCAGGACGAAATGCTCGGCAATGTCGTAGACGCATGGCCCGACGACGGCCATGGCGACATCGTGCCACGGCATGCGGCCATACTCGGCTTTGCTCAGCTCGTTTTGCTGCCAGTCCTGGACCTTTTGAAAGTCCATGATGCGGTTGTTGTTGAAGTCCTGGCCGGGGAATATCTCCTCGGAGACGCCCTCGGGGTGTACGTCGGACAAGGGGTGCTGGCGGGCATCCCAGCGGCCAAAGCAGAGATCGAGGCCGCCAATGAAGGCCATGGCGTAGTCGATGACGATGAACTTTTCGTGGTGGGCCCAGTACATTGTCATGTCGGCGGCGTTTTCGAAAACGTTGTGGTCCGGGTGCCGCAGGACGCGAATGTTACCGTGGCCCGGAGAGCCCTCGGGGCAAAGGGCTTGGAGAGCGTGTTTGGTGTGGCGCGAGTTGCACGTCAGGGCCGCCTCGACCTCTTTGTAGACAATGATGTAGATTTTGACGCCAGCCTCGGCCCTTCGCTTGAGAACCTGGTCCAGGCGATACTCTTGCTTGTGGTAAGGGGGCCGGCGCAAGAAGAGCTCTGGGGAGATCCACCAGTCGGCGAGATAGATGGACTCCTGGGCCTGCTCGAGGGCGACGGACACGGCCCAGAAGTAGTCACGGCCGTCGACGTACCACTTGATGAGGTTGCCATCTCGCTCTGGGAAGAAAGACTCGAAGCGGTGGGACTGGCAGATGGCTGTCCTCTTTTCATCGCAGCGCTGCTCGTGCTCTTCATCGTGGCGATGGTCCTTGTTGAACTGCAAGACAGGGATGCGTGGTTAGGCCGGGACAACGGGCATGCTGGAGCGTGCACTCACCAGATTGCCGAGCTTTCCGATTTGGTTCCTGGAGAGCGTCAGCTGAGACATGGACCGTGGGCGCGAGAGCGGAGAGGAGCGACTTTTTGTGGATGAGCTGGACCTTGGCATCATGAAGCTTGGTATCGTGAAGCTTTTCGCGGAGATCTCCAATGAGGCCGGAGAAGCCTCCGTGGCTGCTGCTGCCGCCCTCTTTTGGCTCCGACATGGCGGCGGGAGGAGGTGCCGGGCGGCCGAGGGATTCGTTTGAGCAGCGGCGACGAGTGAAAACGGCGAGAAGTGAGGTGCGGATGTGTGTCGTGAGGATGATGAGGCGCAAGCGGGTTACGAGGGGTAGGTAGACGGTTGTCGGCGGGGTGCAAGAGAGAGGTCGTAGTGATTCAGGTACCTTACATTGACCATGCCGTCTTGGGTCATGGGGTTCTGTATTCCTTGGCCTGCCGGACTTGGCGCAGGCGCTGCATGCAGCACCTGTAGGAAATAAGCGAGGTAGTACCCTTTGGGAGAGCCTTCAACGGGTTAGGTGTGCAGCTGCAGGCCGGTTTGCTGAGTCGGCGCCTCTGCTGGGGGAGTTTTGGGCCTAGTCTTTTACTCTTTGCCCTCCAAGCTGGCTGTTGGGCGACCGACGACGAACGGTTGGTGGGTCGTTGCTTGACGCATTGAGCCCGAGTCGACGCAATTTCAGCTGCCCTGCACAAGAGCGCCCACCCAGCCTTGGTGCAACCCGGATCGCTCACACGATGATTTGCAGAGCTGCTGGAATGTCGCTGTCGTGTTTTGTCTGGGCAGCTCCGGTGACGTCACATCCAGCGTTTCACCACGCCCAAAACCGCAAGAGCGCCGTGGCCTGGGCGTTGCCGAATGCAGTCTCGGGCCTGTCCGTTGAATGTTCCGAGACCGACGCCATCAACTCGATATATGATTCGTTTGTTTACTGGTTTATGTATCCATGATACCCCGGGGCCGACCTGGCAAAAATAAAATGACCGAGGCAGGGGTCGAACCTGCAATCTTCTGATTCGTAGTCAGACGCGGTGCCATTGCGCCACACGGCCTTTCTTGGGAGTTATGAACCTCCGCTCGCCCACCCCATTTAGACAGTGGGGACGCTGGAAACTGGTGTCGTTATTACGAAACAACTTTGTATTAGATACTGAATCTGAATTGCTCCTTCCCAGGCTGGGAGTCGTCAAACTAAGACGTACTTTCCCTAGCTGAGGATGAATGCAAACTCCTGACAACGAACCGTCGGCTGGAATTTCCTCGACTTCAACTTCCCAACAAATTGCATCAATAGAAAATACATGCTTGGTCTGCCATCCGTCCTCAATCGCAGAAAGCTTTTACTTTGTCCTGTAGGCTGCTCCTCACTTGAGCCACACCCGTCTTGCTACAGGGTACGCGTCCCGTCCGCCAGCAACCCCGCATGGTCACATGATCATCACCCGATAGAGGCGGGGTGACGACCGACAAGTGGGGTAAAGGGGTTTTGCCTCGCGCCGTCCGACGACAGACTCGTGGCCTGGCAATCATCGGAGGAGCAACGATGCCCAGAGCACAAGATTATCCGTATCCGTAGAGTGAATCTGCAAGCACGGCAGTTACGGCCCCTTCGTCTTGTACTGCACTGTACCCCCCCTCCCCCCCCGGGCTACGGGCCGTCCCCCCTCACCTCTCCCCTCCTATCCTAGGCCTCATACCGACAGCGTATCAGCAAGCACCAGCCCGCCGTGTCCCCACTACTCTGTACCTACCTGTGCTTCGACTTCTTGACCGCCACCAACTGTACTTCACCAACCTCCCCTCAAAGCTCTCCTCCCCCCCCCCTCCTCCCCCCCAATCAATCTCGCAGTCTGCCAACACGAACCCTGCCCACCATGTCTGCTCCCGCCGTCCCGCCCGGCGGCACCATCGTCGACACCTTCAAGCAGTCCTTTGTCGACGTGCCCATTGACGCCCAAAAGGGCAACGCCATTGCCACCACCGAGTTCCTCGACGCCGCAGAGTCCCTCACCACCATCTTTGGTCAGTAACTGCACGGCTCCCCCTCTGCCTCGCGCTCGCTCAGCTCATTGTGGCCTGGCCCAGATGCCCTCGGCTCCGTCGCCTTTTCCCCCGTCAAGTCGGACCTGGTGGGCAACATCAAGGTTCGCTGACGGTCCGTCCCCTTTGCCTGAAGTCGTGCTAAACCCGCACCGCCTCACCCTACCAGAAACTCCGCGAAAGGCAGCTCGCCGCCCCGGCCGAGTCCGAAAATGTCCAGGACCTCTGCCGCAATGAGCTCAAGACCAAGAAGCACACGGCCACCGAGGGCCTCCTGTGGCTGGTCCGGTTCGTTGCCCTCCTGTCCTTCGACAGTCACACGCTACGGGCACTAACGCCTCGCTGGCTGTCGACAGAGGTCTCGAGTTTACCTGCATCGGCCTCAGCAGCAACATCGAGAAACCCTCCGACGAGCTCGCCGACTCGTTCCGCGGCGCATACGGCGACACCCTGAAGCCTCACCACGGCTTCCTCGTCAAGCCCATCTTCAGTGCCGCCATGAGCGCCTGCCCCTATCGCAAGGATTTTTACGCCAAGCTCGGTGCCGACGAGAAAAAGGTCACAAGGGAGCTGCGAGTCTACCTCGACGCCCTGAAAAAGATTGTCGGAATTCTTAAGGGCTTCCTCGACACCAAGGACGCCAAGTGGTGAAGCTGGAATAGAGGAGTGGACACATCACGTCTGCCTAGGCGAATAAATACAAGCCCTGTGGCTTGCATCTTGGCAATTGCCAAAGGCTCGAGCCAATTCACCTTGGTGCCGAGCAACATGATTGTCATCCACATTTTCGTCAATATACTGCAACTAAGAAGCATTTGCTACATTGCACTTGCACATACATATGTACTCACGTCCATCTCGATACATGTGATATCAGTATCTACCTAGTCATGCGTTGCCTGCCCGGGCTTTGCGGGTTGTAGTCCTGAGCACTCCTGCACATTTCACGCCGAGAAGTCTTCAGCCTGCTCTCCTCGATTATCAAGGGGCTTCCGCTTGCCTCTCTCCTGAAGCTCAAGGCTGCTTCAGCCTGCTCTCGACACATGTGCCGACTCGCCACAACTTAACAAGCTCTAGCTCTGCCGCGTCGAGCATGCTTGCAAAACCCTGCTTGGTAAGCTCCTCGCCGCCCATGAACATGACGGCTGGCCCATGACGGCGGCTGGAAAGTCAGCCTCGCCAACTCGGTGCGGGAGCAGCATCTCACAAATGAGCAGGCACGAATCCGGGGCCTTGGCGGCCACCAGACGGTTGAGGATCTCGACGCCCGCGTCATCGGCGTAGTCGTGGAGGATCATGCGCAAAGATGGCCGGGGCCCGGCTCATCCAAGAGATAGGCGCGTCTGGTAGAGAAAGCCGGAAGCAACTGCAGAGGGACCGTCAGGGCCAGGGGGGACAAGGAGAACATGTCATTGTCAGCCACATAGATTCCAGCTGCTACGGCCATCTTACCTCGAAGACCCTAGCATTTGAGAGAGGGAGGCATCGTGAGCCGAGGTTTGGGTAGCAGGAGATCAAGGACGTGTCGAGCGACGTACCGAGCACGCGGGCCATGCGCTCTGCCAGCGGGCTCTGCCGTTTGAGCCGCAACAGAGTCAAAGCTTTCAGGGAGGACCCTCGGCGGGGAGAAGAGCAAAAGGGGCTCGCCAGCGGCACCATATGTTGCAGGCCGGGGGGGAGAGAGCGCGAGGCAAGCAACGCAAAGGGTGGTCCGGGACAGGTCTTGAAGGGAGATGGAGGCTTGGGCGGCAATGACTGTCGAGGAACCTGATTGAGCTTAATAAAGAAGCCTAGGGAATTGCGGACATGGCTCAGCATGAATTGGCCAGCCAGAACACACTCAGGCCCGGGTCCGACTCTCCTTTCCCCTTTCCCCTTTCCCCTTTCCCCTTTCCCCTCCCCTCACTCCCCACCTCGTCCCGACTGGTGATGACTGAAGCATGTCTTTAGGGATCCTGCTCAAGGCGAACCACGGACAGATGGCAGACCGCACGTTGCTCGTCTCTCTGTACCTACTTCGTATCTGTACTTCGTATCTGTACTTCGTATCTGTACTTCGTATCTCTACTTCGCACTTGAGGAGTACAGACAACCGCCGTTGTTTGTACGTACATGCAGTAATTACAGGGCAAGCTTCTAGGCGCACCGTCGCGGCGTCACGGGCGGTCGGGGCACTGCGGGCCTCTGCGGGCCCCTGCGGAGCGTGACATCGGCTGCGACCCGACGAGTCTCGACACTCGACACTACAGTACAAGGCGCACGTGACTGGAATACGTCTGCCTGAATGGCATATCCGTGAATCTTGGATCTTGACCTCTCGGTGCTCGGCCGATGCCCCGACTCTCGACTCTGTGCTGAAAACACCCGTCAAAGCCTCGCCTCACCGTCCATCGCCTCGTCCATGCCTGCAAGGTCTACTGGCCAGCGACAAAAACCACAGGCCATCCGGCACTGAAGCCGTCGTCCCGTGGCGCTGCATGCAGGCAGCTTGCAGACAGCTGGCTTCGGGCTTGGGGTTTGGGGCTTGGGGCTTGGAAAGATGAGCTGTCAAGCCAATCTTCCAAGATCGGCTCGCGGCCCCCCCGGGCGGGCATTTCCGATCGCTCGCCTGTCACGGCCTCTTCTGCATCTGTCAGTCACATTCGGGCGCGAATCCCTCCCCTTTCGACCTCTCCGCATCTCGTCTTTTGGCCACCTACCCTCGCATCTCACTGCTGCCTTGTCGCATGGAAGAGCACGCGGACAACAGGCACGCAGAAACACTTGTACGCCCTTGAAGCGTCATCCGCGACCGCCAGCCGTATAGGCTTACCACTAGGGGCCGATTCGACTGCCACCCCGAGGCGCCTTTTCAATCAACTTCTTTAAAGCTCAGACCAAGCTCTCCCTCACCCGACCTCGCATGGCGAACCAGTTCCACCCGAAGCCGCCCGAGGAGGCGTCGTCTGCCGTCGCCGATGCTGCCCCGTCGCCGCCGCCACCCGCCGGCAACGAGGTACCGGAGGCCGAGCCCGGCATTCACCAGCTGCTCGACCCCGACGCCGCATGCAGCATCACGCCCTCGTCCAGCATCGAGCCCGACTCGTCCGTCGACGACGAGGGCTATGCAGAGTCCACATCCACTAGCTATGTCACCTCCCTGGCCAGCGACATTCGCAGAGGCGTCGAGGAGAATGGCAGAGTCTACGCCGCCTACGGCATCCACAAGCCCTGGGTGCCCATCGACGACTTGGAGGTGAGCGCGGCCCGGCTGTGCTGCATCGCTGGCGGGAGAGGAAGCGAACGAGCCGGCAGGCGCCCGTGCCACACGCCTGCTTGAAGATGGAACCCCCTTGGCCGTGCTGTGACTGTCAACTGACCAATCTCTCTCTCTTGGCACGGAACCTCAATCGCACTAGATGGATCGCAACGACCTCCAACACTGCAAGTTCACCCTCCTCATGAACGACAGCCTCTTCCTCGCACCCATCGTCGATTTCCCCCAAAATATTCTTGACCTCGGCACCGGGTCCGGAATCTGGGCCATCGACGTGGCCGAGCAGTACCCCTCGGCCCTGGTCATCGGCGTGGACACGGCCCCCGTCCAGCCCTCGGTCCTGCCGCCCAACCTCGTCTTCGAGGTCGACGACGTCGAGCACGACTGGCTCTGGGCCGAGTCGAGCTTCGACCTCATCCACGGCCGCGAGCTCATTATGGCCATCCGAGACTGGCCCCGCCTCGTCCGCCAGGCCTTTGACCGCCTCAAGCCCGGCGGCTACCTCCAGCTCGCCGGCTCCTACCCCGAGTTCCAGTCCGACGATGGCACCCTGACCCCCGACTCGGCCTACGTCGAGATCGGCAACATTTACTTTGACATGTCGGAGCGTGTCGGCGCGTCGGGCCGCGAGGTCCTCAACTGGAAAGACTACCTCAGCTGCGCTGGCTTCGAGGACATCTACGAGCGCCTCTACAAGATCCCCACCAACCCCTGGCCCAAGGACGAGCGCCTCAAAAAGGTCGGCGCCTTTGAGCTAAGCCACTTTTGCGACAACATTGCAAACATCTTTGCCCGCGGCTACACACAGATACTCGGTGGCGATCCAAACTACTTCCAAGTCCTCCTGGCCCGGGCGCGAAACGAAGTCTCGAATCGGCGCATGCACAGCTGGGTCCCATTGTAAGCCGGTTTTCATCTTGCCGTCCCTCATCTCCTTGCGCTGCAAACCCCTTTGGCCTCCTGAATGGGCCGTCTTCTGATATCAGATATGGCGTATGCCTCTTTTCTGCTCAGACTATGGCAGTGCGGGTGCTAACGCGGGCTCCAGCTATGTTGTGTACGGGAGAAGACCAGATGACCACAAGGCGAGCCCGCCGACGATTTGACCCTTGTCCAGCGGCTCCACGCGGAAGACGTCGTGACAGCCGGAGACGCCACGATTCCTGGCTGTTTGTACTCTGTACGTACAAGTGTCTGCACAGGCACGCCGGGTCTGAGAAGACGTCAAGGGGGGGACGCTAGGGCGTGGCAGAGTGTCTTCTGGAATCCGCAATTCCGAGGCCCACGTGGGAGTAACTAACACGTGTGTGGCAACTTGCGACACCACGTCTCACGTGGTGGGAGGCTGAACGTTGACATTCTCCTTCCTGAGACATCCTAGGCTACCGAGTCCGGGGGAGCATGGCATGGCGTTGCAACGTCCAACGTTGGTCCAACTTAGCTGCATGCCGGTCCTGCGTCTCGACATTGATGGACACCAAGTCGGGTTGAAAAACACGGCCGTTCTCCCTACCATTTGCCTACTACTGGACCGGCCGTTTTTTTTTGAAACCCCACTTTGATGGATTCCCTTCTTCGGAGTCGGGGTGAGATTGGGGAAAGGGGAGGGTGGTGTGATGTGTCCGTGCCTTGAGTAGGAGAGTCTTTCTCTGGAAGGGCGACCACACGAGCCCCCGAGTACTTTGTATCTTAGACGATAGGTATGCAGTCAATAATTCAATCATGCTATGCTCTCGATACCTAGGTTGGAAGAGTGTTCCGAACCCTCCGTAGAGTGTCCCTCGCGCGCCACGAAAACCCCGTGTCGGAGTCGGAGAACAAGAGCCCGCCGTCCACGAGGCTCGGGCCGCCGAACCTTCCCCCTCCCTCTCCCTTCCCCTTCCGGTCCCCGGATCGCCAACCCGACACCCCATGTAGACGACGTGGACGGATGACAAAAACTGCCCTGGGCCGCTGGTTGCATAACGGCTGCAGATAGTTGGCGCAACCGTGCATACCACGGTGCTTCGTACTTTTCTGGAAAGAGACAGATCAAGCCACCGCTCGTGGACGCCTCCGCAAGGCCAAGCCGACAGGCCTCGAAGTAATCCGGCCATCCCGTAGCTACCAAGGGTATCAGCCGTCGGCAGGGCTGCCTCAGTCGTGAAGTAAATAGACGCTAAGATACTATCCCGGGAAATTACCATCATTTCTGCCTATCCCCAAACCATGCAATCGTAACAATGATTATGACAATTGATGCGATGTAGTATGCCCTCAACTCCGGTCCTCTATGAAACCCGACGCGACCTGTACACGCCGCCCCCCCGCCTAGGTTTACCTGGCTTCTATAGTCGTGCTGATAACCGTGCACAGTATTTGTCCGTCCTAAATTCATCCAAGTGAGAAGAAAAAAGAAAGAATTCGGCCCGGCGAAAGCCAGGTAGAAGGAAGTGGAATCAGCAGCGAGGGGCGGGACATGCGCCCGAGGCAACCATGTATGCCCCAAGTCCCTACCTCGAGCTTCTCGACCTGAAAGACAGGTATCTTGGGCGGCGCATGTGCATTCTCCTGGCCCGCTTTGAACTCGACGACTCTCTATCCGTCTCGCAGTCTCGACCGAGCCAGCGTGCCATGGCCTGAGTCGCCTCGCCGTACTCAACATTGACGCTCTCTTTCGGGGCCATAGGAGGGGGTTTATCCCAAGCGTGTGCTTCACCATCCACGATGCGGATTGAAAAGGACTTGTCATGGCACTGCAGCCGCTGTGCGAAACGGACGCCCTCGGCGAGGAGCATGTCATACTCGCACAGGCAGAGGTGCATAGGGGGCAGCTTTTTTACGAGTTCATCGGACATGAGGCCGGGAGACAGCCTCGGGTCCGTCCGCTGGTCGCGGGGGATGGGCGGATAGACATATGAGGCGTCGATCAAATCCGTCATGCCGGGGGACAGCGTGAGCTCGGGCCGGGCGCATGCCTGGCGTTTCTCGGGACGCGAAATGGTAATATCAAGCGTGGGGTAGAAAAGAATGATGCCGGCTATCTCGGGAAGAGCGGCCGTCAGTTCGTAGTGCCAACGGGATGGGTCTTGCAGAATGACCCAGCTGCCGAGGGCAATGGTGGCGCCGGCGGAGAAGCCCGACAAGAAGACGCGGCTCGGGTCGATGCCAAATTCGGCCCCGCGAGCGACAATCTGCATGAGTGCATCGATGCAGTCCTCGAGGGGCACGGGGAAGGGATAGCCTGGGGCCAGGCGATAGTTGACGGTGAAGACAACGGCATCGAGGGCGCTCATGAGGGCCCCGGCCCAGCGGGCATCGTCGGTGCCCTGGCCGAGGATCCAGCCGCCGCCGTGGAGATTGATGACGGCGGACCGGGATCCGACAGCTATCCGGGGCGGCACCCACACCTCAACCTTGATTTTCTGGCGTCCCTTCCACTGAGACAGAGTCGAATCGAGCCAGACATCACGCGACGGAGAGGGGGCGGCGGGCTCGGAGCGGTTGGCAAGGCCGAAGCCGAGGCTTGCGGCGTAGCGGACAGCCGAGGCGCGGGCGGTGAGGTACCATCGCGCACTGGATTCGAGGGGGTTCACATAGTCGGGTTCGACGGGATTTGCCAGGCAAGGCGTGGCAACGCTCAAGGCCGTGTTGGAAGCGATGCTGGCGGCGACGCTTAGCGACGTGCTGGAGGATATGGCCCGTTTCAACTCGCCCATGGGAGAGGAGGAACCGATTCTTTACGGACCCTCTCGACCCAGCAGAGAGCGCCGGAGAAGGGTGAGAGGGGGGGGGGGCCAGCAGGCACACCGAGCCAGATCAGGGGACCAGTCCGGATTGTGCGGGATCGGGATTCAACGGCGGCGGTCCAACGGAGTGAATGTCTTCAGTCGCTAGATGGGGAGCCGGCTTCCCTGCTGCGGCGGCAGAGACGGAGTTGGTCAGCGGTTGAGACAGGTCACCTCGGCCAAGCGAGTATAGCGCGTACCTGCGCACCGAAATGGGACGTGTCAGCGGAGGGGAAGCGTGGAAGCACGCTGCAGGTGTCGCGGAAGAGGGGATGCTTCCTATGCGGCCTAGGAAGAGCCAGTCAGTCAGGTGTCAGAGAGTGGACGAGGTCACGAGGAGTAGCAGCTTGAGCCAGAGATTCCGAGGGAACGGAAGAGGAGGGGACACGCACAGACAGCTCTCGTGGAGTGTCGGAACGGAAGAGCCTCGACAACAATCGGCCGGCGAACAGGATCCCCGGGGAGCTGGCGAAGGGGATGATGAGAGAGCTGATGTGGAGGCCGATGGGTAGGCTGAATTGTCCGCCAGTATGAGCAGGGCGAGGGAGGGAGGAGAGGACAGGCTACAAAAAGGGATTGGCTGGCCCGGTGACGACACCGTCGCGGTACCTGGGGCTTTCGATGACGAGTTGGGCTTGGCAGGTAGAGGGGATGTAGCGCTGCCTGAGCCTTTGGTTGCCTTGCTGGGCTCAGGCGGCGCATGGGGGCATGAAGGATACATTGAGGCGACATTGCTGCCAACGCTCCACCCTTTGCTTAAAAGTACTCGGAACAGCGAGACTGGTGCCTTGGCTGGGACCCAGACTTGCCCCCAGAGCATTGAGCTACGTAAGCCACTGGCAGGCGTGCCTGGTGCACAAGGGCAAGTGCCAGTAACTTAAAGAGTGGAACAGTGGAACGGGAAGAGACTGCCGCGGCTCTCCATCGCGGCTCTCCATCGCGGCTCTCCATCGCTGGCTCAAGCAAGATAAGCAAGATTGATTGCCCCGGAAGGACTGACGTCAGAGAGGGGCGCTCTTCGGTCAAGTCCGCACCGGGGGATCGGAGTTTGGCGAGGATGCTTCCTGCCTGACATTACGCAAGACAAGCAAAGCAAGTCCTTGTCGGGCAGGAACGGACAGCGGCAGCGCGGCTTTGTGGCATGGATATCCGTACGGACAGGCAAGGCAAGTCTCTTTCCCTTGCCTTCCCTTTGCTTCGTCTCTTTTCCTCGAGCCTTGTACTCCGTAAACCGTACTGTATAATGGAGGTACGCACGCAGTACCTACAGTACGGGTTTACAGAGGTTTCCGGAATCCTTTCTCACCAAGCATGATTCGAAATACGTTTTCTCAGCAGCAAAACCTTGTCCCCCCCCCTTTCCCCGGCCTAGACTGAGTCGCTCCGGAGCAGCGTCTCCAGTGCTCCACCCACCAATTCAAAGACATAACGGGGCCACCAATGCGGTGCCGGAGCGCATTTGTTGAAGCGAGTCGATAACTGCCTGACTAGCCCCCGACCAGTCAATTATTAATGAGCAAAACGGGCTAACCTTGGACCGGTCGCAGGTGCACAATAATGTGACAATAGTCCTCTTGCTCCGTAATCTCCAAAGCCGCCCTTGCCGTTACTGGCCCGGACGGAGCCCTCGATATGTCCGAGGCGTGCCAAACCGTCGGTCCAGACTCGTTGTTTGGCCTAGTCAAACCCCCCCGCCCCCTTTTCCGCTCATGTAATTGCCGCGGCGAGCATCATTCATGCTCTAGCAGCGGAGTCTACGGGCGCAACGGCGGCACGACGGGCCTCCCGCTTGGATCCGTTGCGGCCTTAATCCACTTAAATGTTGTTGTTGTTATTATTCAGTCTCGCTTTATTACTATGGCTCTCCTGGTCGTACATAAGTCAGAGCATGGCTTGCCGTAACTTGATAAGAGACACGGCTTCCCTACAGTAGCTCACACGGTCGCCCACCTTGTCTTGCCCCCCCGATGCGTTCTTGTTGCCTGCCATTGCTCATACTAATACCTGCCTACTCGCACGCGCAATTGTAGAGCCATCCATCTACCACTCCCTCAGCAGTCCTTCCACTATTACACGAGACCGAGTAAAACAGCAAACCCCGGCCCGCAGAAGAGAGGACACCCCCCCCATTCGTCCCTCATTCGTCGGCCAACCGGCCTGAGTTGCATCGCTCCACGTTGCGTGACGCCCCTTTGCCGAGCCGCCCACGCCCCTCCCGCGAGAATCCAGCCGGGCGCCGGATCGCACCACTTGAGGGCACGAGAGACGGACGGACAAGCCGAGAATAAAGAAGCACCGAAAGGAGGCCGGAAAAGGGAGAGAAAAGGAAAAAGGAAACGAGGAGACCAAGGAAAGGCCAGTAAGTCCACGGCCACACGACAGGTACAGGTACATCTAAGAACAGCCATGCCGGCTACCGCTGGTGGGATCCTGGGCCCTGTTGCCTCGGCCTTTGGGTTGCCCCTCCGAACCCGCTCCAGGCCCAGCCGGCGCGGCCAGAAGCCAGGTACCGGTACTTCGATACCCGACGCGGGCAAAGGCGCCGGCCCTGGCGCTGCCCCTGCAGGTGCAGCAGGCCCGAGTGGCGACGTCACTAGTACTACAGCCAACACCACCACCACCACTGCTGCGACCACTGCCGCCTCCACTGCCGCCTCCAGCACCACCGCTGCTCGCTCGACTTTTTCTTCCTCTTCTCCCCCTCCTCATTCTTCTTCTTCTCCCTCTCCTCATTCTTCTTCTTCCTCCTCTTCTTCTCCCCGTTCACCGCTACCGCCATTAGCCTCCTCATCATCTACAGCGCCTCCTTCTACTTCTACTTCCGCTCCTCACTCTCCGGCGTCGGCTCCAGCACCCGCCCTTCCTCGCCGCAACGCCTCCTCCGCCAGCAGCAGCGCCTTTGTCCACAACCATCGGCGGCGAACACCCCCCAGGATGAACGACAGCGGCGTCGAGCTCGCCAGGGGCTCCGCACGCTCCAGCATGGACAAGTCGACCACGTCGTTTGACAGCGGCCGCACCAGCACCAGCGCCGACTGGCCTAACCACCCCTACGAGCTCAACACCATTGCCGAGCTCGACCGGCTTCCCCTCGACTCCGAGGTCAACTTCCGCGCCCGCATTTCCACCCAGCGCCAGCTGTCGAAGGCTCTTGACTTCCTCCTTTTCCGCGACCAGACCCACACGGTTCAGGGCGTCCTCTCCCGCGATGAGATGGACATGGTCAGCTGGGTCCAGAAGCTGTCCCCAGAGTCCCTCGTCCAGGTCAACGGTACGCTCAAGGCGCCCCCGGAGCCCATTCGATCTGCCACCCACGCCGGCGTCGAGGTTCACGTCCGCTCCATCCACCTCGTCAACGCCGCCCACCACGCCCCCTTTACCAACTACAAGCCCCCGGAGTCGATGCGGAACCGTATGTCCTCGCGTATCCTTGACCTTCGCCACCCCTCCAACCAAGCCCTCTTCCGCGTCCGCTCCCTCGTCACCCGCAAGTTCCACGATGTCCTCTTCGACAACGGTTTCGTCGAGATCAACACGCCAAAGCTCCAGCCCGCTGCCACCGAGAGCGGCGCTGCCGTCTTCAAGGTCAACTACTTTGGCCGCAACGCCTTTCTCGCTCAGAGCCCCCAGCTGGCCAAGCAAATGTCCGTCTCGGCCGACTTTGGTCGCGTCTTCGAGGTCGGGCCCGTCTTCCGGGCCGAGAACTCAAACACACATCGCCACTTGACCGAGTACACGGGTCTCGATATCGAAATGGCCATTGAGCACGACTATCACGAGGTCATCTACGTCATCGATGATTTCCTCAAGGCTGTCTTCAAGGCTGTTTACGCCATGCCCGAGCTCGCAGAGGTGCAGAAGCGGTGGCCCAGCAAGGAGTTCAAGTACCTTGACGAGACGCTCATCCTCGACTTCATAGACGGCATCAAGATGCTGCGCGACGACGGCCGCGACGTTGAGGAGGAGGAGGACCTCGCCACCGCCGATGAGATCCGCCTTGGACAGCTGGTGCGGGAGAAGTACGGCACCGACTACTACGTGCTGGACAAGTTCCCCGCCAGCGCCCGGCCCTTTTACACGCACAAGGACCCGCAGGACCCAAGGTGGACGCGGTCCTTCGACATCTTCATCCGTGGTCAGGAGATTTGCTCGGGAGGCCAGCGCATTCACGACGCCGAGGAGCTGCGCGCAAACATGCGCGCCGCCGGTATGAACGAAGACGGGATGGAGGACTACATGGAGGCCTTTGACCTCGGCGCGCCCCCGCACGCCGGCGCCGGCCTGGGCCTGGAGCGTATCGTCGCCTGGATGCTCGAGCTCGGCGATGTCCGCTACGCCTCCCTCTTCCATCGCGACCCCAAGTCGCTGCCGGAAAAGACTCCGGGCCTCATGCACCCCGAGGCCGATACCACCAAGCCACACCCCGCAGGCGACCTCCCCCCCGTCGAGAAACTCATTGCCAATTATGGCGACGCGTCCAATACGTCGTGGCTCGACGATCGCTTCGAGATCTGGAGGCATCCTACGGGCGCCGCTGTGGGCTACGTCAAGCAGGACAAGTTTGCCATGATTACAGGCGACCCGCTGTGCGACCGGAGCCAGTACAAGGACGTGTGCGCCGCCTTCGTCAAGTTTGTTATATCGGAGCTGCACCTCGTGCCCGTGTGGATGCTTGTCTCGTACGAGGTGCAGAAGATTCTCGCCCAGCAGATGGGTTGGCGTACGCTGTCTTGCACAGAGGAACAACGCGTCGACGCTAACAAGCACCACAACCTCAACGGCGGGCCCAAGGCGAGGCGGGTCGAGCGCGAGGGCGTCAAAATCCACGAGGTCAAGGCCGACGCCGACTTCATCAAACGTGCTGACCCGGCCATCTCGGAGTGGAAGGCGAGCCGCAAGGGCAAGCAGATCCACATGACGGAGGTGCGCCCGTGGGTTGACATGGAGCACCGCCGTTACTTTGCCGCGGAAAAAGACGGCAAGGTGCTCGCCCTTGTCGTGCTGGCCAAGCTCTCCCCCAAGCACGGCTGGCAGGTCAAGTGGGCGCTCGACTTTCCCGGCTCCGTCAACGGGGCCATCGAGGTGCTTGTCGAGTACACGCTGGCGAGCGTCACGGGGCAGGTGACGTTTGGTGTTGGTGTGTCGGAGAAGCTGACACCCGGCGAACACCTGCACGGCATCCGAGCGCGCTTCCTGGCCTCGACGTATAACTCGATTGTCGACAGCCTGGGCCTGCGCCGCAAGGCCGGCTTCCGGAGCAAGTTTGGCGCCCTCGGCGAGGAAGTCTACATCTGCTACCCCAGGCATGGCGTGGGGCTGCGGGACCTGAGCCAGATTATCAAGTTCTTCCAGGACTGAGCCGGCCTCGGCATACGAAATCGTGCATCCAGACTATAAAACAAATTATACCCATACATATATACATATACTTGTGTATGCACGCGAAAAGACGAGCACGCAGCGTGGGCGACGTGGTGTCAATGCACTTGAGAGAGAGTACGGGAGTCGGTCGGTCGGACGAGCGCATCGTTGCTCTTGGGGTTACACGGGCGAGTCGCTAGATACCACATGGGAGCGAAGCGAGGCGGGGTCTTTCTATCTCTATGGAGTAGACTTTTTGGAGTTGTTGCATAGAGATTTTGACAGTATTAGTTGGAACGCCCAAAGAAACAATCTTACTCTGCTTACGATGTCTTGATGCTAGTGTCGAGTCTCTCGGCCGAGACCGAGAGAAGCGGCTTGTTGGCCGGAGCAGTTGCCCCTCGCACGTGCCGTGTCTGTCCCGCCTCGATGCTGGGCGCCGGTGACGTCATCGCGCGAAACGAGACATTGTGCGGCGTCCTTGGTCTGCTTTAAAAATAGACAATGACAGGCTCGGGTGAATCAGGCCAAGGCCGGCGGCATCGGCAGATGCATGCATGTCCTCAAGCTTCATCCTCACGTCACGACCTGCACGCAGGAGCCGGCATTGTGCAGGAGCCGCCGGCATTGGGCAGGGAGGGAGCTGGCCAAGGCACCCAACTGTGAAATCGTCTCGAGTTTCTTGCGTGCACGTATCCAAAACCAAGCCAACATGGCAGCGACAACAAGAAAAACAAGAAAAACAAGAAAAACCACGATATACAACCACGCCCCCTTTTGGAGCACAAGCCGCGCGGCTCACTTGCATTCCCGCCCTCGGCCATCTTCGTTGGCCCGCACCCGCCTCTCCGTGCCCGGAGCATCTGGTCCAGCTCCTGTAGGCAAATATGGCTGCGCCGCCAACCTCAAGAGTCGCCATTATTTTCAGTCGAAAACGTCGGTGACGAAGCGCTCGTTGCGCTGCTGGTCGAACCATGCCCGGGCCGCCTCCTCATCCACCTGCTCTCCCTGCTTATTTCCCTTCTTCTCTCGGACCAGCTGCACGCACGCCGTCTCGACGCCCTTGCCTACCTCCCGGCTACCGCACACGTAGATTTTGGCCCCCCGCTCCCACAGCCTGTAGACGTCATCGCGGTCGTGCGACAGCCTGTGCTGGACGTATTTGCAGCCATCAGATCGATCAGGCGCTCGCGAGTACGCTCGCCTGACCTGGGCGGCGCCGAGCGCCTCCCATCGCGCCAGTTCGTCGGCGTACAGGTTGTCCTCATCCGGCGACCGGCACCCGTAGAACAGAAGCGCGGGAGCAACCTTGCGGCCCGCGCCTATCATGGCCGCCCGTTCTTGCAAGAAACCGCGGAAGGGTGCCAGGCCTGACCCGGCGGCCACACAGATGATGGGCGTCTTCTCGGCGTCGGCCGGTAGATGGAAGGTTTCCGACGGCCGCACCGCCACATGAAGCCGCTCCCCCGGTGCAAGGCCGGAGAGAAAACTGGTGGCGACACCGACGTGGCGGCCGTTGCCCGACATGGCCGGCTGCTCCAGAACCGAGTACGTGAGTGTGAGCTTCGACGGGTCGGCGAGCGGAGAAGACGAGATGGAGCTGGTTCGCCATTCGTTAGCCGAGCGCGTTTCCTCAGCCCATCCCCCATCGAGCTGGGAGAAGACTTACTACTGGCGAACTCGCATGGGTGGGAGCATGCCCAAGTAGGAACCCAATGGCAGCTCGACGGAAGGAAACTGCTCCAGAAGATCCAGGATTGAAGTCCGCTTGAGGTTGATCTTTTCGTGATAATCATCGCCCGCCAACTTCTGGAGCTGCTCGGCGTCACCCTGGTTTTGCGTTGCCGCGGCCAACGCTTGCACATTCTGCAATCATCGTCAGCATTACCGCAATTGACCCCGCCTCCGAACACCAGGTGGGAGCTCTTCTTACCCTTTTTGTGGCAGGTTGACTAAGTTCCACGTACGCGGTGAGCACATCGCTGGCAGAGATGGCCACATCCGTGGGCAGAGACGTTGGGCGGTTCGAGGATATCTTCAACGTCGCATCCCAAGACAGGCCGAACCGCCTGAAAACACGAGAGACTGTCTGTTTTGGATTGAAGGGCAGGATAGCGAGGTAGTCGCCGGCACGATACGTCATGCCTGTAGGCAGCTGGATCTCGATGTGATTCTTGACGGAGCTGGATTTAGTCAGCGTCCTCGCCGAGACGACGACGGCCTCTTCCACGTCCTGCCGCAGCGTCGTCTTGCGTGGAAGCGAAACCTCGACATCCAAGCCATCGTTGCCGCTGTCACTGCTGTCTTCCGCGCCGTACGTCTTCTGCAGAGCTGGCCAGAGCGAGTCGTCCTCCCACGCCTCGAAATCGCTGAACATGTCACGCTCGCCGGCGTCTGTGGTGGCAAGAGGCGTAATCCGGTGGCCGCCAAGCCGGTGGAGAGTCGAGTCTACGAGTTTGGGGATGCGATGAAATGTTTGGACCCAATCGTGGTGACCGCAGCCGAAAACGGCGTACGACACTCCCTCCATCTCGTTCCCTTTGAGGCTCTCCATCCAGCTCACGAATAGTGCGGCATTGGATGGAGGCTGACCTTCGTAAGAGGCAGTAACGATGACCACGGGACGGTCCTTGGGGATGTTCTGGTTGGCGGCGTCCAGGGGTGCCACGGTGGTGGCCCTGAAGCCGTGCCGGGCTGCATCTGCTGCCACCCTCTGTGCCATGGCCTCGCAGGTACCGCTGTTGGAGCCGTAGAAGACGGCCAGAGGCTTACCCCGAGTAGATGACATATCCGCGACGGCCTTGGCCGACGGGTCGTGGTGGTGCACAGCGGTGGTTCCTTTGCCGGCGAGCTGCTGCTCCAGTTCCGTCGGGGTCATGCCATGCCTCAGGGTGGCCTTCATGAAGAAATCCTTGGGCTTGATGGTCAGAGTCTCCTGGATCTCGAGACGGTAATTGGGGTCATCGAGGCTGAAGTTGAAGTTTTGGAAGAGCATGGCCATGACGAGGACCGCCTCCTGCCAGGCAAATGGTCGGCCGATGCAGGCTCGCTTGCCGTTGCCAAAGGGCTTCCAGCAGTTGGGAAACTCTTTGTTGAGGCGAGCAAAGCTCTCCTCGAGCATGCGCTCGGGCTTGAAGTCGCCTGCATCCTCGCCGTAGACGACGGGATCAAGATGTGCCCTGGCGAGCATTGCCGCGATGGGCTCCCCCTTGCGAACGAGGTACTTGCCCGCAAGGAGGGTGTCCTCGTAGGGCTCAACGGTGAAGCCGGGAATGGCCGAGCTGATTCGCAGCGTCTCCCTCAGGACCTGTGGAACTCGACGTCAGCGACTGCAAACGGACACTCGATCTGGGCTAGGAGCTGCGCGGCACATACAGCGGCGATATAGGGCAGCTTGCTGATATGCTCGACCGTGATCTTGTTGCGGCCTATGACCTGGTCAACCTCCTGCTGCACCTTTTGGTAGGTGGCCGGGTTCTTGAGCAGGTGATAGAAGGCGAAGGAGAGCATGCCCGAAGTGGTCTCGTGGCCGGCAATGAGAAAGGTGATGAGCTGATCGGTGATGTTGGCATCGCTTAGCTTGTCGCCCGTCGTGGGGTCGACGCCCTTGAGCATGGCAGCAAGCAGGTCCTTGCGATCGCTGGGGCTTTCCTTGCGCGCCGCGACGACTTGGTCGGCCGTCTTCCTCATTATCGCGATATCGTCCTGGAACTTGTCGTTGGCGGCGCGATAGAGAAAGTTGGGGGCAAACGAGGGCCGCTTGTTTCGCCTTCCGCACTCGGTGAGGAAGTCGCCCATGGCCCTGATGAAAGGGTGCAACTCTTGGCGATAGTATGAGTTGAAACGAAAGTCCATGGCACATAGCGCGAGGGTGTCCAGGGCCAGGCGAGTAAAGTCGTCGGAGACGCAGATGGAGGACTGGGGCCCGTGGCGCGCAAGCTTCATGGCGAGCTGGGTGGCGATGTCATGCATCTCATCGAACATGCCGCGGATGGATAGGGGTCCAAAGGCAGGGACAAGGATGCGATGGGCTTTGTTCCAGTTGGGCTCGTCGTCGTAGGCCTGCGAGGGGATGAGGTTCTGCTTGCAAGATTGGCTTGGCGCGAAGAGGGGTATGGACTAACAGTGAAGAGGCCATCGTGAACACCTTCGCGGACGACCTGCAGAGTAGTCGAGTTAGCCGAGGAGTCCCTGAGCAGTGGCAGCAGCCTTGGGCCCGAGGACGCACCCGCAAAGCAGACCCCAACGACTTGTGAAAACGCTTCTCGTCGCAGAGCTCGTTGACGATTTCATTTGTGGTGGCGACGACAAGAGGGCGCGACCCCAAGTGAAGTCTGAAGATGGCACCTTGGACGAGAGTGCTGTCAGTCTTGGGCGTTCGAGGAAAGGATGCGAGGAGCAGCGCGTACCATAGGTATCTGCGAGGCGGAGGATGTCCTTTAGCGGACTGGTTGTGAACTCGGCCAGGTTGCCGATCAAGGGCAGGCCCGGGGGCTCTGGAATCGGGACGGCTTCAGCCATGGCGGCTGTCGGGGCGACGCGAGGCTGTCGAGGCAAACGAGTTGTCTGTCAGTTCAGTGCTCAACTGCATGTCCAAGACAGAGGATGGATCCGCGGAGACAGGCGAGGGCGCCATGGAGGCAGAGGGCAGGTTAAAGTCATACGATGAAGACAACGGCGTCAGTGTGGCCCTTGCCTCGGGCGCCTGTTGCCGGCCAATTGCACCTTGTAGATATGACCCCGTCTTGGGCCCGGGGGAGGGGAGGAGTTCAAAGGGGCCAAAGTTTGACCAGGAATGGTAAGGGGTGAAAAAGCCTTTGGTGGTGTATGACACGGAAGTCGGGCTGGGTAGAGAGAGGCTGGGTAGAGAGAGGGAGTGAGTCGGTGTGGTCGAGGGCAAGAGGAAAGGATTGTGCTCGCTCCTGCCATATATATATACCTATGTACTGTATATACCTAGGTATATACCTACCTATGTATATGCGCCTTTTGCGGACCACAAAGTGCAGTCACGTCCCTAGCTAGTACTTGCCCTCTCAGTACGTATGTATAGCAACAATGAATTGCTGGGACTGGGATCCTGAAGCGAAGACGTGGCGCCCGCACAGCCCGGGACCCCGAACCTGCCGCATTGCCGGGCCGAGTCGCTTCTCGCGCGTAAAGGGCAGCGTTTCATCAAAGGTGCCGGCAACCTGGTCTGTATTCGGTGGCTGCATGGATGCGTGTACGGAGTACCTACCTTGGATGCTTGGCAGCTTGGTGATAAGTAGGTATAACAACACACAACGACACGCGAGGTGGGGCCGCCGCCATCAATAGCGGCGCGCCCGATCCCAAAGTCCGTCTCCAGGCTCCGTCCGGCCGCTTCCCGTCCCCCCCTCCCCCTTGGATCCCCCCCAATCATCTGGATGCCGCCCTCTCCAGCCCCGCGACTTTGGCTCCCAAACACTGCGGCTGAGGTACGAAGAGACTGGCCCTCGCTGGGTCTACCGACCTTTGACGGGCCCATCCATGCACCCCGGACCGAGGCATCGGAGCGGGCGTCGCAAACGTCCCCGGCATGGAGAATGCAGGACGCTAACATGTATGCATGCTTACCAAGTACGACGGTTTGAAGCGGGGACATGCTCTGTTGCGACTGTAAGTCCCGAGAGTCTAGATTGCAGAGGGCTTCGCTGTAGCTGAACATAATTTTGCAAAATTGTTGCAAAGCCGGAGAGAATAGTCAAGCTTTCCCGCCGCGCCTGCCAAACGTCACCGTTACGACAGGCATCGGGGAATATAACTTCTACAAATTTCCGGCTCGTCGCAAATGCCGATACTGTGATTGGCTTGCTCGCCATGTATCAGTACTTTGTACCTGGAAATCTTCAGGGCCCGCCGTTGCTCCTCACTCTCGGCCGTTTCAGCCCCAAGCCTCACGCAGGCGCCTCACCGTCTCGCAGCACAGCCACCGACTCCACTCTCTCTCGGCCCCGTTCCCGGTGCCGTCTCCGTCCGTCCTCTTCAGATGACGTACCAAATTCGACGCCACGCCTCGCTGCGAAATTCACAATCTATTCGTCTGGGTATCTCAGCCAAGTCCTCGTGAACCTTGCCTTTTTGCGCAAGCTCTGCCCTCTACCCAGGCTGCCGCTAATCCTGCTGAAATTTCATGCATGTCATCAAACACCGTCGCGTGCTCGTCTATCCTCCATCCACGTCATCACAGCCCAGGCTTTGCGTCGCCACCCCCTCTTCGTCCTCGTGGCTCAAAACTCCATCGTCGAGCTACATTCCATAATAGGCGACCCTGCTACCGCCTCTCGTCTCGGGGCGAACCCTGATGTGACCCGTTACCCCCGGTGAATCGCTCCCGCAGCCAGCTGATTGGCCCCTGGCTCGCCTGCCTACCGGAGCCTCGATCGCCCTGCCCACGTCGGCTGCTCTGCGACGGACTCCTCTGCCTCATTCTAGCCCCGTATTCTCCCGACACCGTCTCTGGCGGGCTCGTCGGCGAAATCGATGTCCGTCTCTGCATTCGCGACGAGTCATAACTGTGCTGTGGCGGCGTCCCTCGCCCACGCTCCCGGTCTCTCTCTTGTTGAATGGTTGAGATTGCTCGAACAGCCTCGTCGAGCCGGGCGGGGCGGGGCCCTAAGAACGGCCGAGCTGCATTGCCGGCCAATGTGTCCGTCGATTCCCGTTCCTGTCTACCAAAGGTCCCACCAAAGCTTCGACTGAAGCCCCCCCTAAAGCTCCTAGACGAGCCTGCGGCTTCTCCCCCATGTCCTAGAGCCGAAGAGCCACCCTGGACAGGTATCAATCTCGGCGCACCCGTGTTGGAGGCACCATCACTGCCGCCATTGTTACTGCTCTGGTTGTTGCCGTTGCCCGACTCGACGACGGGAGTCCTGCAGATGGGACAGGTGTTGTGTTCCTTGAGCCACAAGGTGACGCATTCCTCGTGAAACCAATGCTTGCACGGTAAAGTCACAGCCTCGTCCCCAATGTGCATTTCGTCGATGCAGATGGTGCACTCCGTCTTGCTTTCGCCCTTGAGCATGTCCTGATCAACCGTTTTGCGATCAAGTGTCTTGAGTGCTTCTTCGGAAGCGGGCGGTGCCGCGTTGGACTGGGGATTCGCCTCCATCAACTGTGTTACGATGCGGTCAAACGCCTCTTGCGAGTCCACAGCGTCTCCTGCCGGGGCATTCACCCCACTGAACAGGCTCAGTATATCCTGCAAGCCCCGGGCGAGATTCGGAGGTGGACCCTGATGCTCGCCTCGCGGCGGCCCGAAATCTCGTAATACGTTGGAAAAGATTCTGCAATCGATCAGTCAAGACTCGCCAACAGCGCACCGACAAGAGACGGGCCAGATTCGGCTCGCTCATCACCGCTGGAAAGGACTTGAGCGTACGCTTGAAATTGGTCCGCCGGAGAGCCGTCGTGGGAACGCCCCATGCCATGTGCGCCAGGAGGTGGACCGGAGAAGATGGTGACGGAGGCGGTCCCCCCGCCGAAGGGCCCGCCGGATGTGAAAGTGGTGCGTTGAATATGGGGCCAGGCAGGGGGGTTGTCGTCATGACCTGGATGTTCTCTTGCGTTCATGTTCCGTTCTGGACTAAGGTTCTGGACCATTTCGTAGAAGCGATGCAGTACGGGTTCAACGCCCGGGTCGTGGTGATCGGCGTGATTAGAGCCATTTCGGACGTTCCGGCGATGGATGAAGCCATGCGGGCCGGCGAATTCCTCTATATCAGCCTCCTCGGGGTCTGAGTCGTCGTCATAGCGGGCGGCCCGTGAGGCCGGAGAGGAGGGCATCGAAGCGAACTGGTCGAGTTCGCGAGGATCATTGTAGGGGTTTACCTACGCTTCTGTCAGTAAGCGGGTCTATGAGTGACAGAGGCGTCTAGGAGGACTGCTTTACGATTTCAGTGATGTCGCCATCGCAGGCCGGGCAGCTTAGCCCGTACTCGTCTCGATGCCACTCATTAGAACATGCATGGCAGTAGACCACCTCGCGGCCAGCGGTAGCGTCAAGATGTCCGCCGGGATGGCTGCGCGAGGCCATCTGGTCTTGTCTGCGTTGATAGGCTGTGAGGGCACTGAGTCCGAGGCCAATAGCGAGGCCGGCAAGGCGGAAGGCACGAGACGCCAGAGTGGATGATGTTGAGGGGGAGGTCTCGGAAGTAGGTGCCAGCCAACGGGGGAGGGAAACTACGAGCGGAGTCGGCAGCGACAGCCGGGGAAGCAGACGGAGAGGAGGAGGGGTCAAGGCGAGGGTCGACAGTGGAGGGAGGTGTTGGTTGAATCAGTGTGCGTCGTGAACAGCGTCACAGTCTCGAAGCGGTGGACGTGGCGTCGGTTGGCGGCAAAGGCAGCGTGGGAAGAAAGATAAAGACGAGGTGTCGCTGCTACTGCTGCTGCTGCTGCTGCTGCTGAAAGGTCAGCAGGTCATTCAATGGGAAGATGGGATGAGTGCAGCTGCTGTTGGAATATTGCTAGCCACAGTAGAACAAGCACACGCACCTCGTCGAAGCACGATTGCCGCCGACCGAGACGAGAGGGCTCACTGAGGCTTACGCGCTCGTGCACCACGATCACGTCCCGTATGGCTGGCGCCCCGGTTTTCTTTGCCTGACCAACTGGGCGTGGCCGAAGATGTGAGGAGATGCAGCGAAGGCGAGGGAAGGCTGGCGAAGTGCTGACCAGGAGGTGAATCGGGTGTCGAGAAGCGGCATCACTCGCAGCTGGAACGTAGTGCTGCAGATGACCTAATATGGGGAAGGGGTGGACGGGCTGCAGAAGCATCGAGTCGAGTCCCTGGGACATCTTTTTGGGGCACACACGCCAGGGGCCGCTTATCAGCTTCCAATAACACTCGATACGGCAAAGTACCGAGAGGTCCCTCCGGCAATAGTGGGTACCTTGCACTACCTCAGCGTACAGTACTGTAATTACAGTATCTTCCCAGCTTCCCTTCCAGCCCGCCACTGCTGAGAGAATCCAGCGTCACAGGCAAGACACTTATTATGCCCTGGTCACCCTGGATCCTGGTTTGCTTGGGCTACGCAGACCCGCTGCCTTTGATTATTGCAAAACATCTGCTTGCCTGCTGTTGGTGTGTGCTCCCGATGTTTGTGTAATTACATGCCGTGGATCCATGCGCCCGCCCGGCGTGCATGCTTTCTTTCATGCGTGCAACAACAAATCATCAGTACGTAGCAACAACCAAGCAGATTCGCCGTTTCAAACACTCGTCTCTCCGGGCACACGTGTAGCAAGACTTCCGAGCCCAGCTACCTATCGGTAGTCATCACGGCCGCGGCTTGGTTGCGAGAACTGTAGCCCATCACTCCTCGTCTTTGGTCGCCGTGTTGATGACTCGGTAGTGGAACAATTCGCAACGTGGGCAAACGAGTTGGCAGGCCCAATAAGTCACCGGCAATCTTCCGGGTTCCTTCATCACATCTCATCACGTCCGTTGTGTCGAGACCATCTCGCTGGCCCCGGCTTGTTGTCGCTCATTGTGAGTCTCATCATCAACGTGTGCACAGGACAAAGATAGCGCAGGCTTGCAAGCCCCTCAAAGTTGAGCCCCGATTTGCGAGTCTGGCAGTATTTGTACACGGGCGAATCTCCGCAGTCACTCTTTTGCGCCTTTCGTCGACTCCGCCTTCAGCCGATCCTCCTTGTCCCACTCAATCAACTGCCTGGACCAGCTGTGCACGCGCCGTCAGCGTCCGCATCATCCCAATGTCCCCTCATATATATTCAAGGGGGCCAGAGACGTACTTTCGGCTAGGGAACCAGTCCCCGGGCTCTGGCTTGCGAGACCACGTTTCCCGCTCGGCGCTGAACTTCCAGGTGACGGCCAGGACTCCGGCCATGACGACGCCCGCGATGAGCGTGTTGGCCCTCCAGTTTGCCGGCTGTGCGTACCAACCGCCGGACGGCGACCACACGTGCTTGGGATACCTTGACGGGGAGGCAATGAGGACTTGATCGAGGAGCATGGGCCGGCGCGGGTACTCACGGGATTTTTCCTCCACCGCCCTGGAAAGCCAATCAGCGAGCGTGCAGTTAGAAAGACCATCGCATTCACTTACCATCTTAATCGGCTTGCCGTCGGACGCGTGAGGAAGCTTGAAAGAGTGCGCGAGAGCGTCGTGCTGTGCTTGCTGCAGGTTAACAATAATTGTAAGCTCTCCCTGCCCCGGTTGAGGTCCGCACTAGCCGCCGCCGCCGCACGGGCCGAGGATGTTCCGCAACTGGCACCCCCCAGGAAACCAGCGCTCGCAGGCCAGCACTTGCTTGGGGCTTCAAGTTTTTCTGCAATAGGAGACGACGACCACAAAACAAGGGCCCGCCACAGAGAAGCGCCACGGCCTCGCCCGCGCTCTGCTCCTCCGCGGCCTTTCCTTCCTTCCAGCGTGGGCTCTGCGCCCAAAGGACAATTCATTTCGGCGCGCCCCATGAAGAGGTTACGGCCAGCGCGATGCAGCGGGCAACTGCTTCGTGCTTGTCCGGCGACTAGGCAACCCTTTGTCAACGCGATTCGATGTCTGCACGCAGAAGCCCCGGCGCATAACGGCGACCGACTCGCATTCGAGCCTGACGCCAAACCTGGTCGCCCCTCCACCTCGCACAAGCGGCCAGACGTCTCTGCCAAGCTGGCCGCCTTACACGCCAGATTGGCCCTCTCCAAAACGATTCCCCTCCAGACGCTGGCGCGAGCTCTCATCACTCCATCCGCCGACCCCGATGCCGAAGCCAACAACTCGAATCTCGCATACCTAGGAAGCACAATCGTCAACTACCACGTCCTGGAATACCTTGTCTGCAAGTGGCCGCGGCTGCCCATGGCCATCCTGTACGAGGCGCTGAGGGCATACGCCGGCCACGAATCGCTCCAACAGGTAGCCCGCCAATGGGGTTTGGAGTTGGCGGCGGCGCCCGGCCAAGAGGTTGATCCCGGTCTGCTGCAGTGGAAAGCAGATGGCCAACACATGCTGAGCACGCGGTGGGGGTACATTCGCCCGGACGTGCGCCGAAATGCTCACTACCATCGCCCGAGCCTCAGCAGCCGAGTGGTCCTCGACGTCGACTTTGGAGAGAGGGTCCCGCCTAGTTCCGGCGAAGAAGAATACCAAGGCCTGCAAAGCGAGGCCACTGCGTCCTTCGTCCAGGCCGTCGTTGGCTCCATATACACGCATTGCGGTCGCGAACCCGCAAAGTCCTTCGTCGCGTCGCACATCTTGTCTCGGCAGCTAGATCCCTCCGCGCTCTTCGCCTTCAAGCTGCCGACGCGCGAGCTCGCCCTTCTTTGCGCCCGTGAGGGCTTCGAGGCTCCTCTCGCTCGCCTGGAAAGCGAGACTGGTCGACTGTCTCGTACACCCGTCTACGTTGTCGGCATCTACAGTGGTAGCGAGAAGCTGGGAGAAGGCAGCGGCCCGAGCCTAGATATCGCGCGGCGGAAGGCCTCCATGAACGCTTTGAAGGCGTGGTACCTATACAGTCCCGGCAACAAGGTGCGCGTGCCCAGCGACACGATGGATGAGGAGGCAGAGCCCTGGACGGCGCCGCACATTGACATTGGAGAAATTATCTGAAGAGAGGACTGTCAATGAAGCCAATCGTGAGGGGCTCGACAGAGTCATCACTGTATTTTAAAGTACTCAGTAGGACAAACAATTCGTCCTGCCCACAGAAAATAGAAAAGGGCCCGAGGAGACCGCATAGTGCCCTCAAAACGGCTTGCTCGATATATACCATAGGTGCCTAACCTATATTACGAGCTCGGGTCGACGTTTGGGACCATTAGCTGAATTGGTCTCCCTCTCCCAGCAGTGCGGCCTCGCGATAGCTCGCTATGTTATGGAATGCCTCGTCTCGCAGCTGCTGCTCTGCCTTTTCGCGAAGCTGTTTCTTGCGCTCGTAGACGGCACGGATCGTGGATTTGATCTGCTGCCTCCCCTCATCATAGTTGGCTCGGGCCAGTTGCACCACGCCCTCTATCTGCTCGGGCGTGTAGACAAAGTTCCAGGTGCTGAGGAATTCGGACGTTCCGGGTGAAACATCCGGCACCTTGTCGTTGGACAGAAAGGGGAGATATACGACAGCGATGCCGGCATAAGTCTCCGTCAGCTTCCATGAGTTGGCAGTCGTGATTGCCTTGGGCGGCGGCGGCGGCTTAGATGACCGCTCCTGAGTCGTGCCGACCCAGACCGTGCAATAGCCCAGATCACCAGCTTCTGTGTCTCCTGGCGAGAACTTGGCCTCCGCATCGCTGGGCGGATCGTCCTTGGCATCCCCATCGGCATTTCGATGAAGCGCCGCTTGATCGGCCTTGGCTTCCTGCACCTTCTTCTCCGCATCGCGCGTCGAGCTTGCCTGAGCGTCGACAAGCTCTGCTCTTGTTTGTTTGACGGATTTCCCAGGCTTTGGCCATCCGATACCGACCGGCCATCCCTTGATACCGCGCTGACGAGCGTATCCGTCCGCGACAGACAGCCAATTGTCCGTCTTGATGTCCGCCGAGGCATCAAAGGCGATGAGGATGTCTACATCTCGGCCCGGCCGCAATAGGGGGTAGATGGGGAGGTTGTTTGACATTCCCGCATCCATCAGCTGGATGTACTCCTTCTCGTAAATGTTTCTCGGCGTCGTCTTGGGCAACATGCCGCGCATGTCGTAGGCAAAATTGGGGATGCTGGCGGGGTCAATGGGATGAACCTTGCTCAAGTCTTCGTTCTTCCCAGAGACCATTTCGTCGAGCGTGCCGAACCCCGACATGCTCTGGACGAGCGGTCTGATCTCTCGGTAGTAATGGCTGAGGGTCGCGCAGAAAGCACTCCCGAAGATGCCCATTAGGAGTGGCATTTTGATTTCCGGCAGGTGGAAGCCATGTTCAGGAGGCACGTCTTTGCCGGCCTTGAACTTTCTGCCCATGGCCCAGGTTGGGATGCCGGCGCCGAACTCTTCGCAAAAGAACTCGTACGGCGTGATTTCGTACCACTGAAACCAGGCTTCTTGCTTGGCCTTTTCTTTTGCCTCCTCGGCGCCTGCTGGGGTGACAGTGGCTTCCAGCTCCGGAATCTCGTGCCGCACAGCGGTATAGATGGGCAGTGGCCGCTGCCCGAGCTTGACGTAATTTCGCTGATTCGATAGCTTGAAGTCTCGGTCGTTGACGCCCAGCTCACCCTTGGGCACGAGATATCGCGCGCCGAGCAAGAGACCATAGATGTCGACAAGGCCAAAGTCGGCCTTGGCGTCTCCTCTGAGCTTCTCGACCAGGCCGCTCAAGAGGTACTTGCTCGTTGGTAAGGTGATGAGGGACCGAAAGGCAACCGGAGGATACGCAATGTGCGTGGAAGCCCGAGACTTGAGATGGTCGAGGAGGGCCCCGATGCTTCCCCTTGCAAAGGAAGAGAGGTAGAGGGCCTGCAGCCAGCAGGAGCCGCTGACTCCAGAGGTATATGTCACGCAGTCGAACAGGCCGTCCTCGTCGGCGGCAAGCAAAGACCCGGTGCCGGCAATGAGTGCGCGCAGGCCCCCGCCAGAGCCACACATGGCAATGGTTGGGACATCTTCGGGATTGATGTCCTTTTCTTGCAGGCCCAGATACCTTGCCAAGGCCACCCTCGCAACCCTCCGCCGCCTGGCGAGGAATTCTTTTTCCTCGTCGCACAGGTCGGGCGACACTCGCACGTTGGCGGAGTATCGAATCTCAGGGTTTATGAGGGGATCGTGGGCTTCCTGCCAGATTTCATCGGCAAGGGAGCCTGGCGACATGGATAGCTCCCGCTGAAGCTTTCTCACGTAGCCGGGGACCAGCTTGGACCATTCGGGAAGAATCAGGCCGACAAGCTTGTCGGAGAAGTCGGACCACTCAAGGTCTGTCATCAAAGACAAGGATTCAAAGCGGCGGGCAAAATTGGCCCACGCAGACTGATCTTGTTTCGCCTCGTCAACTGCATGTTGGCCCTGGCCATCGTCGGGAAGGTCTTGACCAGCAGAGGAGCTTCTGCTGCTGCTCCGGTGGGAGAGTTGTGCAAAGTCGTCGGACGGATAGAGCCACCAGATAAAAAGCCCGCCGGCAAAAGCAGCTACCGGCAAGGTTGAGCCAAGGCGATCGTTGAGACCATGCCTGGTCGTCTTTGTGAAGAATCCGTGGCGAGGCTGTTTGGACCAAGGGGAGGCGACGCGTTTAGCAATGCGTAGTGCCACGCTGGGACTGGCCCACGTGCCGGCGAGTCGACCGATCTGTCTCATTGTCGCAGGGTCCAGTGCCGATGGCAGAGAAGCATGATAAGTGAAGCTCAAGGCGGAGCGGATAGCGCCGCTGCTCACTGGCTGAGTCGTGTCTGTTGAGCGTTGTTGTAGCTAGCTGTCTGGTCACGGAGGGGCCTTCAGGCCGCCCATTTCAAGACGATGACTGCGAGGATGCAGGAAGGCAGGCCGAGGCGGGCAGCGGGCCTTGCACTTTGAAGTTTCGAAGTCTGCCTACGTTGGAGAGCACCAACAATTCAGGGAGTTTAGACGACGTTGGGAGTGGAGTTGCGTACTGCTTATGTCATTGGAGCAAAAAGGGTAAGTCCGTGTGCCAGTAATTACTCTCAAGTAGGTACGTATCTACAGTATGAGGTACCTAAGCAGGTACAGGTAGGTAGGCGCCTATCGGGTCCGGGCCGGTCCTTCCTTCCTACCCTACGCAAGTAGTGTTATAGATAATGAGAACTTAAAAGACTGCGTGGTGCCAGTGCTTGTTGAGCCTCATGCTTGTAAGATGGACGGGATATCGCGATAGCCCTAATGGACCACAGCAGTTAGTCAAGAATACACCTTGACTATTACACCGTAACGAGCAGACTAAAAGTGGGGATACCGCACATTTTATATAAGTATTACTATGAGTATTGCTAACTGTACATATACGTATTGCTATCCGTACATTCGCCCCATTTTTAAGATACGTACTAACGCCAGCCCGCCCCGCCCATTTGTACCGCGCGCGCCTGGCAAGTACCCGTACCGCCCAAATGCCCGCACCCGCGCCTGCGCCCGCCCGCACACACACATAGAGGCAATAAAGGCCACATAACGCACTCTCAATTCGCTCAAATAACGCATTTCCGAGCCTTGAGCTCGAAGTTGCAATAATCGGCCCGTTAATTGATCCGGCTCCTCCTCTGGCCCTTACGGCTGTGTGGGCGGCGGCGGCGGCGCCTCAATTGCATCCCACTCAACGATCCCTTTAACGCCTGACGAAGCCGGCGGCGCGCCCCTCCTGCCGCGTCCTCCTCTTAATCCCCTTCCCCTTGTATTTCCTCGGGCGGTCGATCCTTATTATAACGCTGTAAGAGACCGCGGACTATAGCTAAGTTCGTCGATTTCGTTGTGCCCCCGGCGCCTTCGAATGCTTGCGTTAAGCCGCCTTAAGCTGGCCTGACTCGAATTAGGTGCTGTTGTGATGCCGTTACTGTCATCGCCGCCGCCGCCGCCGCTGCTGCTGCCGCCGCTGCCATTCCTATGAGGGAACCCGGCATAGGTAGCTTATTATTATAGGGCCGGCCGCGTATAACTATAATAACGTTAGGATCGCGGATTTATAGTAATAGCTCGTCGAGGTCCTAGAGGTAGTAATTAGTATAAAAACTAAATTAAGGGGGGGGGTCTTTACTAATAGCTTCTTAAGCTACTATTATGCTAAAATATTACGCTTTTTAAGCTTTAACTTAGCTTAGGTATAAGGTTATAAGCATCGTAGGCTTCGTTTAAGTCGCCTTATAGTATAAGGGCATTAAAGAAAGAGAAAAGAGGGTCTATTATAGCGCTAGCGATAGCTTTAAATTAATATATATATATATATAGAATATAGGTAAGGTCTTATATATATATATATATATATAAAGTACTATTAAGCTTACTAAATTAAAAGGGAGGTGCCGCTACCTTAAGTAGGCTTAATAGTAAGAGGTAATAGCGGCTTAGAGTATAGTATACCTAGATAATAGAAATAATAAGAAGTAAAAGGTAAATATAGCCGACTTATAATACTAGGCGAGTACTAAGGTAGATAATAAGGCCCTTTTACTCTTTAACTAATATATATTATTTTAAATCTTATAAATAAATTTACGAAAATCTATTTCTTAATGCCTTTAAAATAAATACTATAGACTAGTTAAGCGGTCTAATATAAGCTCTTAAAATAGCTAGCCTCCCGCTTAATTTTAAGCTCTCTTTTCTTAACTTTTCCTTATTAACTTACTTATATATATCTTACCTTATTACTCCTTTACTATAGCCCTATATATTCCTTTATAATAATATTATTAATATTAATTTAAACTAAGAGACCTATTAATAGTATCTAAGAAAGCTATTAATTCTTAGCGACCGGAAACTATAGCTTATTTCGCTTAAGTAAAAACCGGCCGCTTACTATTACGACTATAGCTACTAGGCCGCTAATAGTCGACCGCGTTAAGTATATAATACGGTCTAACGGATAAATAGTTAGCACGACTATTTAATAGATATAGGATCGAGGGGATTATAGAGATCTAAGTAATCTAAGATTAATAAGATTACTACGCTCTATACGATCTAACGTTAGGGATTATAGCTAGGCCTATAATCTAAGGATAGTCTTTATAGGTATATATAGCTACCTACTTTTACTCCTTTAGATAGATAGCTCGATAGCTTTTAATATAGATCTTTATTACGATTCTATCTTTAATTTTAATTACCTAGTTATAGTCTATAGTCTATAACCTTTAACTTATTACTAATATAATATACTTATTATTACTTAGACCACGCCCTATTATATCTACTAATATAAACCCCTTAATAGGTTTATCCCTTAAGAATAATACTAGTTATTATATATTAAAAGCTCTTATTTAATATAATACCGCGTTACTTTAAGTAATATTATAACTATTAATATACTTATATAGTAAGCTAGATTAACTAACTCTAGAGCTACTATATCGCCTTAGGATATAATACGCGAGATTATTATCCTTTAATATAAGGTATAGTTACTTAAGAATAAAGGAGGTAATAGATAAGTTAGGGACCTTAGAGAAGTAGTTAAACTAAAATAGCTAGGACTATTTAATAGTACTTATAGCACGCTTTAAGACTTTCTTATTTAACTTAAGGCCTACTATTAGTTTTACCTTATTAAACTCTTAGACCTAGTCGAAAAGGTACTTTATATAGGAAATTATTTATTTAAAATAGTACTTACTTAATTTAGACCTATTATAAGAGACTTTCTCGATAACTAACTAGCGTAATAAGATAATAAGATAGATAAAGTCTTTATTAGTTTCTAAGGATTTAAAGAAGCTATTATAAAAGTATTTAGAATAACTAATAAGGAATAAGAAGCTAAATAGAAACTTTAAGAACTCTAATAAAAGATCTTAGTATTAAATTATACTATAAAGTTCTATTAAGTTACCTTAAAGCTTAATTAAGACAACGAACCTCTTATATTACGATTCTACGATAGGCTTAAAGAAGAAGTTAAGGATAAGCTCTATAAGGAAAATCGACCTAATAAGCTCTCGGACTATACTACTATAGTAATATAAATCGATAATAGATAGTATATATAACGCTAAGAAAAGAAATAAGGAAGAGGAAACTAGAACCCTTCTTATAAGAATAACTTTAACTAACGCGCTAACTATAAAAAAAAGCGCGAAACTCTTATTACCTATACTTATATAATTAACCTAAGTAAGATAGATCTAGATATAATATAGAAAAGTAAAGGAAAGTATTTTAATTATAAGAAACTTAAATATTACTTTAAAGAATATAAATAACTTTATAAGGAGAAAAAACCTATTAAGTACTAGCCCTAAAAGGTAAGAAATACCTAAACGCTACTAATAGATAGGAACTAAAGTATAAACTCCTTAGTTAAACTATATACTATAATAATAAATATATAGTATACTTAAGCAATAAGAATAGTACTAGATAGTTCTTAAAGCTATTAAAGAAGACCCTTATAATAATATAACGAAAGGATCTTAAAATATAAATATAAGTTAAATTCGTAGAACTAAAATGCCCTTATCTTAAAGGAGTCTCTTAAAACTAGATTAAAAAGAACGGTAAATAATTCTAGGAAGATATATAAAATAAAAATCGATAATAATAATAAGTAGTTTATAAATAATATAATAAAGAAGATATAAATATAGCCCTTATACTTACGAAACTTAGATAGTAACCTAAAAAAGAATAATAAAGTATCGACGATATAAGCTTTAAAAAATAAGAAATACTTAGAGAAATAAAAGATAAGAACGAACTTATATTACTACCCTTACTATTAAGGGAAAATACTATAATTAGAGAATATACTTTATACTTTAAAGAATTTAAAGAAATACTTAAAATTAAAACCTAATAAATACCTTAAATTCTTATAGAAAACTAATAAGCTATACTAATTCGATATTAATTAGTACTATATAAAGGAGATTATACTATAGCTATTACTATAGTTAAGACCTTTATAGCTCTATAATAAGAATAATAACTATAAGGAGAATTTAAAGATAATCTATAAATACTACTTACTTATAAGTACTATAAGTATATTTTATAGATATTATACGTCTACCTAAATTATATAATATACTTTTAGATAAAGGTATAATATAATACCTTCTTAGTTAAGTTTAAAGGATAAGTACTTTCGAAACCTTACCTAAGTATAAAACTAAACTACTAGAAAATCGATTAATACTACTTAAACGACTAAGTTATATTATTAGAACCTAATTACGGTACGCTACTTAAATACCGCGATAATTACGGTTTATTAATAAGATATCTTTTAGAGATATATAATATCTATAAATACGCTAAAATAAAAGAATAGTATAACGTTACTCGCTTTAAGGTATTTAAACCCTTAATCTTTTAAAGACTTATATAATAAGTTAAATATAATAAAGACGATTATAATAAATATATATACTTAAACTATAGAGTTTATAAATATAAAAAGTATAAGTATAGTATAAATAATATAATAATATACTAAAAGATTATTAGTAATATATATAAAGGCTATAAGCTATATTTAACTAAGGAAGAATTAATATAAAAATACTATATATAAAGTAGAAAGATATAGAACGAAAACTTAACCTTTAGTATAAAAATAAATAGAATTATAAAGTATAGTATATAATTAACTATAAAGTAGTATAATATAAACTATATAGCGT